AAAAAAAAAAAAATCGATGCCTCTAGCTCAGATGTCTCTCCTGAGCTTCAGGCCCATATAACCGACTGTGCAATGAATAGCTTTATTAAGATATCACACTCACCTGTTGAAAACCAGATTTTTCATTTCCCCCCACACATCGGCTCCTTCTGTGTTCCCCCATCTCAGCAAATGGCACCTTTATGCACGCCGGGAGCCCAGGCGTGAATTACTCTTGACACCCATCCTGTCTTTCATGTCTCCCATCCAGCAGTCACCATGTCCTGTGGATTCTACCTCTACTATAGCCCTAGAATCTACCCGCTTTTCTCGATCCCCACTGCCAACTCTCCAATACCACTCACTGTCACCACCCCCCACCTCTTAGCTCATCTCCCTGTCTCCCATCTTGCCCCACGATTTACTTCACTCTTCTATCATGGGATGTCTCAGGGGTTGTACATATCACACTTTTTAAAAAAAATGTAGCTACTTGAGTTCTTTGTTAGGTTGGATTTTTATTTCATGATGTTAATATATTTGACTCTAAGGTGTGCTTTACAAATAAAACATCAGGAATAACCATCTGATTCCCTTCTACACAGAACGAATCTATCTCCAAAGTCCTATGTGGTATTAATTCAAGGGGAGTGGGGATTGCGGTGTGTTCCCATGAGTGGACACCCCACTCCTCAGCCTGACAAAGTCCTCCCTAACTCAGTCCAGCCACATCCCGCCAGCTCCATTCCCACCCACACACCAGTATTTGTCCACTCCCTCGTTCACTCTCTTAGGCATCTGGTTGTTCCTTTATCGGGTATTAATTTAGTACTGAGTCCAGAGCAGGCATTATGCTAAGGAATACGCTCCCTTTGACCAAGTTTGTACCTTCATGACACGCTCCTCCCCACCTCCCAAACCGCATTTGATTTCTGGTTCTGGGCCTTTCCTCCCCACCACCCCGCCACCCATAATGTCCTCTTTCATCCTCTTCTCCATCCTGTGATGGCAGCCCCTTTACTGGCCATCCTAGTCTACGGTGATCCTAGACATTTCTTACCTCTTCCCTCATTTCAAATAATCACCCTCTCAGGCACTGCAATTTAATTATTTCTCTATGTTCTAGCCATCACTATCCTCAGCTATATCAATACTGTCTCCCCATCTAGACTGCAACTCCCCCAGAATCATATTATACATGTTTCCCTTTCTAGAGAACTAGTTAAGTAGTTAATTACTTGTTAATAGCTGCATAGTTAACTAGTTAATTACCTTACTTCTCTGAGCCTTAAGCTCTTCCTATCTAGGACTGGAGACAGTAATTCCAGCATTACAGGGTGGCTGTGGGAATGCAAATGTGATACCAGATTGAGAATGCCATTGCACTGTGCCTGGCACATAGAAAGTACCCAATTAATGTTAGTTCCCAGCTCCTCAACGTCTGATCCTGAGTTGAAAATACAGTGACTACAAAGCAATTATTTGCAGAAGGAATGAATGAGTAAATGAATGACGAAGAACTGCAAGAAAAAAATAATGCATTCTGAACCCACCAGAGTGGCCTTGTCAGAGAAATAGAGGGCCTTTCCTTGGCTGGCATGAGAGACATTCTGCCAGAGGGAGAATTGTGGAGGAAAGAGTTCCTGCTTGGCTCGAAGATCATGAAATGTTGATTAATGGGAAATCAAGTCTGATCTGGGTATTTCTGCTGCAGTCAGCTAATTTTTTTCTAAGTTTGACTGAGTCTGTGATCTGTCAGGATTCCCAGAAGAAAGTGGCAGGCAAGTGTTTCTTATAAACTGAAAAGAAATTCTTGTGTAAATTAATTTTCACATGGCATAGGCCTGGCTCAAGGCTCTATAAGTAATGAGAATATGTTGGTTTCAGAGCCCAGGCTATAAATATTTATTCCCACACTGCCACTGGTGTTTGTAGAAATTTCTTTTTCACTAATGGGCATTCCATTTGTTTTGAGAAAGACATAAAACTGTCCAAAAAGCACTGAAAGGTCATGACATAAAAGGCCATGGGGGAGGGCATTAAAAGGGGGGAACGTCATCTCCAGATGCTGACCATTTGGTTTTCTAACTGCATACCTTGAGTTCATAGTATTAACTCTGAGTTCTTTGTGGAGGGAATGACTTTGTGGTCTGCTGTGGTCAGCAGTGACAATTAAGCCCTCTCCTCCCATCTTCGCTGCAGAAAGTGCCATTCATTTTGCATTTGTTGCCACAGACATGGCCGAGATTTCCTGTCTTCTTCTGATCCCCTTCTTCATTCTCCACTCCGTCTGCCCTCCCCATTCCTAGCAGACCTCCCCATCACCCCACCCCATGTCTTGTCAACTACATGGGACATGCTAGAAGAAGGAGGATCAATCTTGGCCCACTGATGCTCCATTAAGTGCATGAACAGATGGGCGAAATTTATTTTATGTAGTCACGAAATGGCAAATCTGGGACATTCACAGATCACCCGACAAAGGGTGATTGCTCACCAGGGTCCATGCAACTCTATGGGATCCGGCTATAGAAATCAATGAGTCCATGAATTTGGATGGGAAAAGACTGCATCTTTAGTTTCACTAACTACTACAATTTAGCACTTACTTCAACTAGGAGTGAAAACAACGCACCACAATTACTTTAGCAGTACCTGTGACTTTTTCACCAAAGAAATCATGCCCATTTTTATACCTCATTATAACTACTACAAAAATCTCAAAATATCTTTTACTTTCAACACTATTGTAAAATTATAACACTGTAAGTAAAAAATTACCTGCCAGCAGATCTTGTTATTTGATGTGTTAGTAATGAGGCATGTTATTATTCTATCAAGCATTTGTGCTTTTGGAATTATATTGAAAGCTATATCAACATAATTGGTTTCTTTAGTAATCCTTAATATTTTGTTTTATGCATTTAAAAACATTTTTCTAGGAGGGGAATCTATAGGTTTCACCAGACTGCCAAAGGGGGGGCCCCAGCACAAAAAAAGTTAAGAACTCAGGTCTGTTCCCTGGAAATACATGGTTTGTCTCACACACATATTTCAGGGTCTCAGCAAAGGATAGTGCAGACACATCAGTGGGCAGCAGGAAAGAATACCGCGATTGATTAGTAATGTCTGTCATGGGCACACCATGGAGAAAAGTGGTAGGATGCAATTAATCACAGGTTCCTCCCGCTATCTGGAAGTAGAGCATTCCTATGAAATCTTTTGCAAGCGGAGATGGTAATTGCAAAGAAGCAATTACCATTAATTTATATGGAAAATTTTTTTAGCATTCCCAGACCCCAAAATAACCCTCCTAGGCTTTTCTGATACCTTAGGGCACATCTTGTTAAGAGAAGCACAAAATAAATCAAGATAAAGCCCAGGTGCTTGCAGGCAGAATTGAAAGCTCTGGCGGCTTGCCGCGGAGACACTGGGTGTCATCCCAGGGAGGGAGCTCCGTAGCACCCCTCTCACTGCTCTGCCAAACGAATGCAGAATACCTTTTTTCATAAAAGCGAAATCCTCTTCGGATTTCTTTCAGTGAGCCAACACAGGTCTTTTGTAAAAGCAAGGTGGCATAACTCGAACTTTGGAAACGGGGGGATACCTGTACTCTCCAATCCGGGCCCCGTGCTGCAAATACAGCTTTGTGCACTGATGGAAATGTTTTATCCGCTCTGTCCCACGTGCTGGCCACTGGCCACACGTGGCTTTCGAACCCTTGAAATGTGCCTGGTGCAACTGAAAATTTGAATTTTTAGTTCTGTTTAATTAATTTACATTAAATAGCCACACGTGGCGAGTGGCTACCCCACTGGACCACACAGCTCTAAACTCATCCCACCCACACCCAACCTCGACACCTGTCGCAGGGGAGGAACTGGACCCAAAGAGAAGTCACTGGACCCATCTGTGACAAACCCACACCGACATCCCATTTTTTTCTTCATTTTTGCAGTGTCCCTAAATTACCATTTAGCAGAAGCTAGTCCTCGAACAATGCACAAGTGAGTGCACCACGAGAAAAGAAATAATTCGAAGTTACATATGTCCTCAGGGAAACAAGGTAAGACGCCATCTCTTCACGACAGCAAGCTCCGAGTTGATGGGCTCTTTTTCGTTTTTGTTGGATATGTCAGTTTGAAGGGGGAGGGCTAGAATTTCTTTTGCTTTTTCTCAGCTAATTTCAGAAAATGTTCACAGGTGCTTTGGATAAAAATATATTGTTTGCTGTCTTGCAATCTGCAAACATTTAAGAAACCTGCAAGCTGAGCCAGGCTGCTTCTGGAGATAATGCAGGCCCCGAAGCAGGGTCCCTGCTGTGACTCAGAGAATATCCGCCCTGACGTGCCCACCCTCAGTTTGCCCAAGGGGCAGCTGCTGATGAGGACTTTGCGGTGGAAAGTTCTGGCCTGAGGAGGGGACAGTTTCTGATGAGGTCATGGGGAGGGAGTGCTTTCCTCAGCAGAGGTGGGAGCCTGGGACAGCCGCCAGGAGTGTGGTCTGGGAAGCACGGGCCCTCAGACTGGGGAAATGAGTCCTGCCCTTGCCCTTGGCACAAGAGCCAACTTTGGGGGTCTCCACGAGGGGTTTCATAGTTTCGCCCTCCAGCTGGCTCAAGCCTCAGGGGAAAAAAAAAACAGTGGGCTCCCGGCTAGGAGAGGGCTTCACCTCGAGTTAACATTGTCCTTCTGACAACAGCTAAGGCCCGCCGCAACTCAAAACATCCATACGCAGCAAAACTGCCCAACACACTGATTATGATGTTTTCTAAGGTTTCCGTGGCATATAAACAATTTTCAGAGACTTCCTATTGCAGACTAGCAGACTCTTCTCCAGACAAGCTGAATCAGAATTTTAGAGGGATGTGTGCTGAGAAGGTAGGTTTTAAACAAAGCTCCCTGCTGATTCTGATGGGCAGTGAGGTTTGGCAGCTACTGGCCTAAAGGATGGCATCCATATACCCTTCATCCTGGCCCTGAAGGCCTCTGGGAGCTGGCCCCAATCTACACAGGTGGGGCCTTATAGCGGGAAACACACACACGGGGTAATAAGGACATAAATGACAACAGGTGACATTTGTTGGGTACATGCCAGGGGTCAGGTATAGACTAAGAGCTTTAAATGAATCCCCATTTAGTGTGCACAGTGGCTGTTATTACCATTTTGCAGATTAAAAAAAAAAGAGGTTTAGAACAGTTAAGTAATTTGTCCAGGGACACACAGGGAAGGTAGAAATGGAGTTCAGACTGAAGTTGGTCAAATTCCAAAGTCCACACACTGGACCCACGGCGACCAACTGTCCCGGTTTGCCAGGGATCGAAGGCCTCCCTAACACACGGGATGTTCTGTGCTAAGAGCTGCCAAGTCCTGGGCACACTGGAGAGCTGGTCACCCTGCCACCCTGCCTGACTTGGAGATTCTGGCCTGAGATGGAGACTCAGCTCCACCACTCGTGACCGTGAGACCTCAGGCAAGCCGGCCCAGCCTGGTCTCCCAGATTCCTCATCGGAAAACAAGAATGACCACATCTGTCCCAGAAGGGAGCTGTGAGCGTTAAATGAGACAGTGCATGTAACAACATCCCGCTGTATACCCAGCACTGTGGGAAAGGGCGAGCTCCCCCACAGGTCAGCCTGGTGAAGCCCCGCCTTGCAGCGCCCAGCTTCTGTTTATTTCAGATCTGGAAAATACTCACCCAATGGCTCTTCAAATAATTCTCCTCCATTCCGTCCATCCTCATCTTCTGCAATTCCTCTCCGATTAAATACATAGTAGCGTCTCTCGGCCAAGCCTCCGATTCTCCCCCGTTCGCTCCCTGGTGTGTAAAGTTGTCTGTGTGTACTCAGGGTGAGGTTCCCAGTACTCTCCCATCATCGGCTCTTTCCTCCTCCAGGGTCCACAGTCCAGCTTGATCCTGACATTGGATTTATCCATGCCTGTATTTTCATCAACAGGATCTACACCTGGCTCTTCTTCCTACCCATCTGGTCTTGCCTCCTATCTGCCTGCTCTTCGTTTACAAACACCTGGGGCTTTCAAGGTTTTTTTCTCCTTGTATCTCTTGAAAAGCCTTCTCCGGGCTGGCAGTTTTGTGGACCATCTTTCCCAACAACCCTTTGCCTCCTGGTGGGGAATTTCGGTTGACAGGTGCCTCCGGAGTGTCATTGTGCATTTTTTTCTCCCTCTGGGCTCATCTGTCCCTCCCTCTCTAGTTGTCCTGTTGCCTCCCACTCGAGTTCGAGCCAAGTCTAACATCGGGGCTGACTGGGCAGAGGTGACAGATCTGAGCAGAGGCGGGCCCGGCATTGCCCAGAACTGGCTCCACAGCCTGGCCTGCGTCCTCTGCCTCCCCCAGCATGCAGCTCCAGGCGAGCAGTGATCTGGGCAGCAGGCACTACCTTCCTTCCGTCTCTTTGCCCGGGGAGGGGAGCCCTGCCCCTCTCTGTCCCACACAGCGCCCTGGCTCTTGTCTGCCCTGACTGGGGGTACTTTAACCCCCCATGACGTTGAGGAGCTGAAATGGCTGGTGCTCCCCACCTGCTCTCAGACCCAGAGCCGCGCAGCTCCAGCCTCATGTACCCGCTCTGGCAGGTTTGGCTCTTGTACTGTTTATTGTACGCTGGGGTTTTGTCTTGCATCTAAGTGTTCCTGTGTCTTTGGGGTTTTCATTTTCTTCCTAGTCTTTCTCTACTCAACGTTCAGAGAACAGAGGATCCCTGAAAGGTTCCTCCCTCAAAGCCATCTTGACTTAGGTATTTCCCTGAAATTGTGTTTTAAATGAAAATGAAAGCCAAGGAAGATTTGCAGTTCTCCTGCATTATTTTTTGGCACTTAAGATAATAGCCGAAAGCAACCAAGAGAAGGAAATAGGAAGCCACACTGTGATGCTAGTACCTTTAACTGACTTCTCCAGACCAAAGTCAGACGGGGCAGGACAGGGAAAGCTCCCTATGCTGGGCCCTTATTTGAGAATGTACTGTGAATTCGCTGCAAGATCTCAGGTGCCAGTCACTGAGTTTCTGGTCTCCCCCTGCTAAACTGAGACCTCTTCCGGTTCTGAACGTGTGATTCTCTAACCAGAGGGCAGCGAAGCCCTGTGTCCTCTGATCCTGCGGCAGGGTCCCTGCGGTTTCCTTTCTACCCTCCCCCACTCTTGGATGCCTGCCTGGCCACCACCTCCAGGGCTGCCATTCCAGAAATTATAGAACTTAGCAAACAAACCCAAACAAAGGCTGTTTGGGTTTCACCGAGGGAACTATTGCTCAAATACTACTTGTACTTTCTCTTCTTCCTTTTCCTCTGACCCAAACTTGAATTCCTATTGTTTCAAAAAGTCCCCGTGGGGGCAAGAGGAGTTGCTAAAGGGAAATAGGGGTTGCCATTTCCATTCCACAGAGGAAGACACTGCAGGCAGCAAAGGTTAAGTGACTTGCACAAGGGCACTCCAGGTCCACCTGCTTCCACAGCGCCCTGCCCCTCAGCACAGCAGACCCCTGCCTAGCAGATGGAGGGGTGAGGCCTCTGAGCGGTTGGCATGGTAATAAGCGATAGGGTCTCTCCCTCCCCATCCTGCCACCCCCCACCCAGCAGTTCCTCAGACAAGGAGCTGCAGCAACCCACGGGGATTCATCAGCAACTCCTGTTCCCACCCCAGGCTCAGGGCCAGCTTCTACAAATATTCCCCTAACTCTCGCCAGTCTGGGGTTTTATTGAAATCACAGGGTGCCCATTTTGCAGATCCAATCTGGCAATCTCTCCCTCTTTCTCCACTCACCATCACTTGACTTCAGGGCAGTATTATAACCTCAGAGCCAAGCTCCTTTGCCAAGGAAAATAACTCTCAACTTTCTGTTGTGTTCTGGCCTCATAATTCCCGGCTCGGGGCAGAACTGTGAAGCTGGCAACGTGCGTCCCCACCACCCCCATGCCTCTCTGCTCTCTGTCCCTTTTCTCCCTCAGAAATCATCCTCACCTCCACCCCCATCCCTGGGCTTCATTACCACCCCCTCTTCACCCACAGCAGCTCACATCAGAGAAGGCAGAGATCAGCATGGCAGCAAACGGGTACTCTTTCCCAGGGGAGCACCGTATTAAAATGAGTGCATCCTTTAAGTGCGTGCGCATGCACACAACATTTAATGTGTCTATAATTAGAGAACTAACACATGCCCAGCATAGAAAATCTGAAAAGTACAAAAGATACAAACAAGTAAAAACCCACAATCCCACCACTGAGAAAGCTCCTTTGACTAATGTATTTCTTTCCAGTTCTTTGTCTTAGTGCATATGTGTATTCACATATGTGTGGATATCATATATACATATTTCAGGGGCTGCTTGAAGGCTGTGTAGTTTCGCTGCTGTGCCTTCCGAACCCCCATACCACAGTGCTTAGATTGTCATTGTTTTATAATAACCATTAATCCCTGATGGGTCGAATCCTCCCTCCTCCCTTTTTCTCAGGATTTAAAAAATTATCCTCCACTGTTTCTTTTTCCTGATGAATTTTAGATTCAGAATTTTAGATAAACAGCTAAAGCCAATGCTTTGCAGGATTGCAAGTTCATTAAATTTATAAATTAACTGGATAAAATTGGCACCTTTGCAATGTTCCAATGTCCATCCAGAAATATTGGATGGCTGCCTATTTAGTCAGACCTTCTTTAATATCTTCCAATCAAGGAAAAAGATTTCCTTCAAATGGGTCCTATACTTTCTGGTTGAGGTTTTTATTTCATTTTTTTTTTTAATTGGGAATTGGATCTTTTTTCTCTAAATGCTCCCAATTGGAATTATTGATTTGGAAAATGTATCCTGCAACTAGCTCTTATCTTACTCTCTCAATAATTTGAATACATTTTCAGTTGATGCCCTCTTTTTCCTAGGAAGATAATTAGACCATCTGCAAATAATGATAATTTTATCTTCTCCTTTATATGTATAATTTTGTTTTGTGAATGACTGTATAACTTCAAGAACCATGTTAAACAATAGCAGTAAAACCAGTGATCTTGTCTTCGTTTACTCTGGATTATTTTTATCCCATTAAGGAGATATTTTCCCAATCTTAGTTTTTAGACTTTGAAGTGAGGAATGGATATTGAAACTTATCAGATACATTTTCGTTATCTGTTGATATTATCATATTTTTTCTTATTTTACCTCTTGCTGTTAGGAATTACCTTCATAATTTCCTAATATTAAAATATCTTTACATTTCTAAAATCAAATCCACCTTTTCTTGGTGAAATTTTTAAAGGTAGTATTGAAGTTGATTCTTTCACGCTCTATGTAGGATTTTTTTTTTTTAAAGATTTTGTTTATTTATTTGAGAAAGTGAGAATGAGAGAGAGTACATGAGAGCGGGGAGGGTTAGAGGGAGAAGCAGGCTCCTCGCCGAGCAGGGAGCCCGATGCGGGACTCGATCCAGGGACTCCAGGATCATGACCTGAGCCGAAGGCAGTCGCTTAACCAACTGAGCCACCCAGGCGCCCTCTATTTAGGATTTTTACAACTGCTATATACACATGCAAAGTTAGTTTACAGCAACATGATCCCAAGTGTGTCTATGGAACATCCTTGCTGTAAGTTATGCTACCAGAAAAGGGAAAGGAAGAGAAGGAGGAAAAAAAGGAGAGGAGAGGAAGAGGGAGGGAAGTTCTATGTTGAAATTGGTTTGGAAAATACATATCCCCCTTGGATATTCACAAGGTATATTCCCATTTTAAAAATTCTGAGACAAGCTAGAGTTTAAAAAAGAAAAAGAGAAACTTGTGCTTAAGTTTGTATAATCCCATATTCCCAAAATGATTGGCCATGGAGTCCCTATTTGACATAATTCCTATTAACATCTTGCAGAGTTCATGTATGAGGCATGCACTTGGAAATACTGTCTTTGTCAGTTTGGGTATCAGAATCACACTGGTTTCACTGGTAAGCCGCTCCCTTCTCTGAAGTTCTAATGAAAGGCTTATGATCGCCTATCCCCTACTGCTGCCTTGCCCTGTTTTCTGTAGCCACCTAGGTGTAGGCCCTTCAGTTTTGTGGCTCTGAGCTACTGTCGCACTCCACTGGGTCCCTTTGGGATCTCAAGGATGCAGAAAAACTCCAAATCTTCAGATGGATTCAATTTGGGGTTGTCTTTATGTAACCATCCTGCCATGCTTGAGCGGATCTTTTTCCATCTTCTCCCCAGTTCACGGGGCTATATGGCCCTGGCCGTCCACCTGCAATGTCCTCATCCCAAGCAGTCTGACTTTCCAACTCCAAGTGCCCTTGTGGGGCCAGGTGACTTTCCCTCCATCCCTTGACATTCATTCTAAAGCCGTCTGCTCCCACTCACCGTGCCTTTTGCTCACTCTTATTCCCCCAACTCCAAAATCCCATTTTTCTATAAATCCCCAATAGTTATTCAACACTCAGAAACACAAGCACTGACATCTTCTTGCAGGAAGAAGTTGCTAGAAGCGAAGTCTTTCTAGGCATTGTAGGAAATACACTGATTTATCTTAAAGCCTCCACCCTCAAAGACCTCAGATTCTCATGCAGTAGATGAATAAGTATCTAATCATTACAGTAAAGTTTTGGGACAGTGCCTAGCAGAGGAAGGGCTTAGTAGCCATTGACTGACATGTTGAACATAGAGCGATAGGTACCCTAGTAGAGTCATGCATACAGCACAGAATTCTTCTGAAGAATTCACAGAGGGGTGACATTTGAATTAGGTTTTAAAGGATGCATAGGAGCTCATGCGTCAGAGCAAGGGGGCAATGCAACATTAGCATTTAAATCAGACTTTCCAAAGCTCTTTCACACACCAACTCCACTGGATCTTTACAATACCTTGAGGTAAACTTCATTGTTGTTCAGCCCACTTTACAGTTGAGGAAGCTAAGGATCACTTGTAGCAATGAGCTTTCCTAACTCCACGGATTTCAGGAAAATGAGTAGCTGTTTTAACACTGATGCCCAACAGTTATTCCCAGGAAAATAAGTCAGCTGTGGTCCCCGCCCTCATGAGCTTGCTTACAGGCTAGACTCACAGAACTTTAGGGGTGTAAATTCTCCCTGTGGAGCCGTCTTTAGCTCAGCAATTAGTGAAAGAGCTAAAGAAATTGCTTTCTCCACAGACTGAAGCTGTGAGCATAGGAGTGAATGATGCAGCAAGCCCCGGTGGGAGGCCTGCAGGCACTCTCAAGGCGGTGGGGCTCAACCTGGCTTACGTCTGAACCACCCAGGGAGCCATGAAAAACTCCCGGTGCCAGGCCTGCCCCAGGCCACTGAAGTCAGAGTGGTGGAAGGGGACAGTCATGGGTCCATTGGGAAGAATCCCACTTGATTCCAATATGCAACCAAAGTAGTAAACCTGACAGAAAGATTGGGGCGGTATGGGGACACGGTTGTGAGGTTTTGATTCTGTTTTGCGACTTCTTTTTCCTTTGTGTCCCCTCCTCTGTCCCTGAGACTGCCCTCTCCTGGTCTCCTTCTCTGACCGCCCGCATCTGCTCCCTCCCAGCGGCCTAGGAGGGGACTGAGACATGCTCCTGGGTCCATCCCCACCAAGGGCTTGACTTGTTACTCTCAGATCCCAAGGTTGTATTTAGAAGGGACCCTCTAGGGGGTGACTCCGTGGTCATAATGGTGGGTGAACGAAGCATAGAGTCAAGGTGTGATGCACCTCTCAGGATTCTTTTCAGTCACACCACAGAAGCCACCGCCCGTGGGGTTGAATTGTGGGGTGTACGGAGGTAGGCCAGCTCTCGCTGGTGAGGCCACCTTCCCCCTCACTGCCTCAGAGTTCTCAGGAGAATGAGGAGAGACTCATCCTGCTTCCTGCCAATGGCCAGAGTGGCCCAGGTGCACAGCCTAAGGGAGGCAGTGGTCTGGAGAACGGCAGGTACCAACACAGCTGGGGAGCTGATCTACCCCTCAGCGTCCTCCCCACCCCTCCCCTCTCAGGGACCCAGAGAAGGAACACCAGTGTCTGCAGTCCCTCAAAACTCTACCCCATGGTGTTAGGGGTCTTTGTGAGGTCAGCTTTCCCTACCCCACGTCCTTGATGCTTTCTTAGGGAGTGGGCAATTCTCTCCAGCCAGCAGCAACTAGAACGTGTTCTGAAATCCATCTGGATTCACCTGGGAACATGAGATGAGGTGGCCAAGGGCACTGATCAGAGGTCCCAGAGCAGTGCAGTCCGGCTAACCTGATGCCATCCACTTAAGCCATTGAGAGGGAGATATTATGGCAACAGAAGCCAGCTTTAGGCTGTCATCCCAGATAATCATCCTAGGTTGATTGTCGCTACTGTTACCCAATTTACATATTCCCATAAATAATTTACTGCACTAGATCCCAGGAGCCTTAAGTCCATGGTGTAACGTGAAAAGGAAACCTTGTGTGTAGACTTCCCCAGCCATCAGTCAGATGGGGGTGGGTGTCCCCACTGAAGCCTGACTGTGACCCTTCTTGGCCTCATTTCTGCAGCTGCAGAACCAAAAGAGCACTGCTGACCTCAGAGCTGCTCCCCCAGGATGCTGCAGAAGTGAGCAGGTGGCTGATGGCAAAGAACCGGCCGACCCCAAGTGAAAGAGGCCAATAAATCAGACATTCTCATTATGCCGGTTTCCAGCTTCTCCTTTCAGTGAGTATTTACTCATGCAGCAGCATGCCACAGGTCTAGTAATGCTCATCTTTTGTGTGTCACAGGTTAAGAGCACAAACTCCAGATCCAGACTGATTGGATTTTAATCCTAGCGCTCTGATTCCTAGCCAGTGACCTTGGGTAAGTAACTTCCCTTCTCTGTGCCTCATCTGTTAATAGGTACTAATAGTACCTACCTCATAGGGTTTTAATAGAGAACAAATGAGTTAATACATATAAATGGCTTAGAGATGTGCCAAGCACATAGAAAGTGCCCAATAAATTTTCACTGTGAAGATGATGATTACACAGCACTCTCTCAAAATGAGCCTAACAGAAGCTTATTTCATTTGTTTGGCATCTAAACTGTAACATAGTGTTTCCCTAATTTGTCTGATGATTTTTTTTTTTTTTAAATGAGCCAAGGCAGGGGCGCCTGGGTGGCTCAGTTGGTTAAGCGACTGCCTTCGGCTCAGGTCATGATCCTGGAGCCCCGGGATTGAGTCCCGCATCGGGCTCCCTGCTCGGCAGGGAGTCTGCTTCTCCCTCTGACCCTCCCCCCCCCTGTGCTCTCTCTCTCATTCTCTCTCTCTCAAATAAATAAAATAAAAAATCTTTAAAAAAATGTTAAAATGAGCCAAGGCACTTGTTAAAAATAGAGATTGTGGGCCCCTGACCTAGAGGTTCTACTTCAGCACGTCCTGGATAGAGCCCAGGTGATCCTAATGAGTTTAGGGACCCGCTGCTCAACGGGACCAAGAGGAACCCCTGGCCTCTCCTGTGCTTCTCCATCCTCACTCTGCCAGTTGATCTGAAATGCCAGGGAGGGGAGGTTGCTGGAATTTGGAGCTCTGGGAAAGCTCACATTGTGTTCCCCATCCCAGTTCCTTGGGAGAGGCTCCCTAGAAGAAGTGGGGGGGTGGGGGGGATGGTTTCCAGAAGGACCAGAACAAAGGGAGTGTGCTGGGCTCACAGACAAGAGGGTGGTGAACTGTTGCAGGATCGGGGAGAGCAGGAGAGGAGGTAGCCATGGAAGGGTGGGCCAGGGCTGCCTGGGGGTCACACACATGGCCCAACATTGAGAATCACAGACGTTCAGAGTCCCGGGCAGGACAACCCCTGGGCGGTCCCTCTAGGCATCTGTCTTTTCTTATGCCACTATTTTATGCTTTGGATAAAATCTTGAGGTTCTACAGGTCCATTTTCCCAGAAATTCTGACCTAGTTATTGAAACATGTATTCATTCCTTCAACCACATCTCCTGAGCACTCCTCCGGCACTGAGAACACAGTTGAGCATGCATATCTATGACAAACAGCCCTCTCCATGGAGAAGCTCAGGCACTTGGTGTCCAGGGGCAGGACATGTGAACAGATATTAACAATGCAAAGTGACAAAACGTGTGCTAGTTGTGCTTAACAAGGGCCGTGGGAACTCCAAGGAGAAAGGAACTCTCCTGGGGAGGAGTTGTTACAATCTTGGAAGGCTTCTCAAAGGAGTGGAGCCAGGTCTTGAAAGAAGAAAGTGTAATCAGACTGCCAGACCAAGAAAAGGCAATCTAACTAAAACAAAAACAAAAACAAAAAACTAGTCAGAGGAAAGACACCCAGGTCTTAAAGGGCACAGGTGTGGCTGGAATGCAAAGGCTGGGCCTGGGGCTGGGCCTGAGGGGTTGGGCAGGTAGGTGGGTCTGCCTCCCAAAGTTTCCTGGCTTCACCTGTGGGTGATGGGAAACACCATAGAACATCTGAGATGGATCTTTGCTCCCCTGCCCCAAGATTTCCCCCACCCACCTGTCCGGAGGCTTTACGTTCCCCCATGAACAATCCTCTAGAAGTGGGTAGGACTGTGTTACTTTGGGTTGGTTAAGTCAGCAGGTGTTCCGTGGTGCTCCAGCTTTCTGCTCCTTCCACACTCCTCGGGCTTTCCACCTGTCACCTCTATTTAGGGAACTGCCACATTTGCCGGATGATCAAACCTCTTAGCTGTGTCCGGAATTCCCGATTGCCAGTGGGACATTTATGGCTGAGAGATAGTGTATCTTTGTTGTTAAGAACAAGGGCTCTGGAGTCGGAGTTTGTAATCCAGTTCCACTTCTCACTACCTACGCGCCCTGAACTTTTCTTTGCCTCCATTCCTTAATCTGTAAAATGGGACTAGGAAAGTACCAAATTCAGAGGGCGATGGTGGGGAGAAAATGAGCTCATCCACCTCGATCCACACCAGTGCCTGGCACACACTATGCACAATAAAATTTGCTATAATTCCTATCTCCTTTCAGAAGTCCTGCTCTCACTTCAAACTCACGTGTCAAAACGAAGACCTGAGTCTGTGGTGCTGGCCTGGTTCTGCCATTAAGAAGCTCTGGAAGCTTATTTAGCAGACAAGAAAATGAAGCCCAGGGTGGTGAAGTGACTTACTCAAGGTCACACAGCAAAGCCAGAGGGAAAGCTGGGGCTCAGGACTCTCGGTCACTTGCCGTGTGCCTCCTCACACCAGCTCTGCCCCGTGGGAAAGTTTCAGGCACCTGCAGAGCAGAACAGTACCAAAATCATCTGGGCCACTTATTAAAAATGGGGATTCCTGGGCCCCCCTATAGGATTCTGGTTCAATAAATCTAGGGTAGAGCCCTAAATTAGCGCTTTAACAAGCCTACCTCTGCCCCTCCCCGCAGCCGGGTGATTCTGATTCAGGCCATGCCCTTTGAAAAATGCCTCTCAAGAGCCAGTCTCCCTCATGTGCCTCCACATAAGGATGAAATCCTGAGCAGGACTGGTAAGACCCTGTGGCCGGCCCAGGACTGCACTTTCCGGGAAACACCCCTGCTGGTGCCGTCCCTGGGCATGGCTACAGTCCCTTAGTGGTATCCTAGGAATTCGGTGACATTCTTTCCTACCCTCCTCCTGAAAAGGAATGCCACTCTTTCAGACAAAGATGCACCTGTACCCCTACAAAATCAGCAGGATTATCATTCCACTGGCCATTGTTTACTGCAGTGGGAACTCTGGAAGCTAGAGGGATTGTGGGTAATGTTACTCATAGCACCTGCTGCCTCCTCCAGGGGTGACCTCATCAGAGCCTCATGCCTGCTAACACTGCCTCAGAAGCTTCTGTCCTTCCCTTCCTACACAGGCGACTGTGTGGCCCCATGTCTCTGCCTCTCCCTAATCCCCATCCTCAGACCCCTTCCAGAAGAGGGACATCAAAGCAGAGCAACCTGTTTGAAGAAAGAACAAATATTTGGGGAGCAGTGTGTAGAGACAGTGGTAAGAACGACAGTTATTGCTTAGTAAAGGGCTCTGGCTACAGATGACTATCTGCTAGGAAAAGAGAAGGCAGCCCCCAAAATAGTTAAGTGGTCAGATCTGAGATATCATTAAAAAAAAAAAAAAAAAAAGGTGATGGTCATCCAGCTTGGGGAGGATTTCACTTTGGAGAGTTTTAAGAGCTCTGTTTATTTCTCAGCTTTTGACTTTCTCTTGCTCAGAACTTGTACCAAGGCCTGTGCTCATTCATTTCCATTTCTGAATTATCACCAGGACACAGAGATAACAGAGTCTGCTGATCGGAGTATGGCTGTGGGGACTAAGAAATACCATGATAACCGTCCTTCAGCAATCTGCAGTTGGCCTTTGTCGGCAGTGTGGCCTGCAGTGGGGGGTGGGGAGGGGGGGGTGGAGGCGGTGCATAACCTCCAGGCCACACAGAGCAGGTTCTAATCTCAGATCTGCTGGTCACTGGCTGTGGGGCCTTAGACAGGTTGTTTAACTCTCTGCGTCTCAATTTTCCTATCTGTAAAACGGGGATACTCCTACTAAATCGACAAGACTTTGTGCTGATCTAAAAACACAGTGAAAGTGATTATTGCCATTATTGAACCAAAGAAAAGGAATCACTTTCAGGCTAGAAGAGAAGGAGATAAAACATATTTGACCAACCTAGTACAAAGCAATAAAGCAGAAAAAAAGAGAAAGATACATATAATTAGAAAACAAAGTGGTATAAACCAGTCAAATATGTCAGTAATCATGACAAATATAAACATGAAACGCATCTGCTATAGGACAAATTTTCAGATTGGATTTAATTTTTTTCCATTCATTAACTCATTCAAGAAAGAATTACTGAGTACCTACTATGTTCTAGGCACTCGTCTAGGCCTTGGAATCCAGCTAAAAGCTATTCACAAAAGACACATCTAAAACCAAAGACAGACAAGGGCCAAAAGCAAAAGATTAGAACAAAATATACCATGTAAGTATTCACTAAATCCAACTTAGCAATATTAATTTGAAACAAAATAGGCCTTAAAACAGAAACTTGGCAAAAAAGAAATTCTTGACAAAGGAAACAGTTCACGATGAAATAGAACCATCCTGAACCTATATGCATATTACAATATAGCCTCAAAATACATAAAGCAAAACCCTACAGCATTATAAAGAGATATGGACAAGCCACAATCATAGTGGTGGATTTTAATCACTTCTCCCAGAAAGTGTTCAGACAAAAAAATTGGGAAGGATATAGAAGATTTGAACAGTTATTTATGGACCCTTGTGTCTCATCAATAGCTTTTCAAGTACATACTTACAGGAATCAGTCCTATACCCTAGGCCACAAAGGAAATATCAAAAGGCACCAAAGAGCTGGTGTTATACAGGTCACATTCTCTGATGTCAGTGCCATAAAATTGTAAGTCAATAACTGAACCATTTCCACACAAAACCCACGTGTTAAGAAAATTTCTAGGGCGCCTGGGTGGCTCAGTTGGTTAAGCGACTGCCTTCGGCTCAGGTCATGATCCTGGAGTCCCAGGATCGAGTCCCGCATCAGGCTCCCT